GACTCTCTTCACTGCTGCCCTCAGTGCCCTGCTAGAAAGGTTGCAGTCAGAGGTCCAGGCTGGCCCCTCCAGGACTTCTCCAGGGGTGGTGCTTGCCTGGGCACTTGCAACCACAGCCCATTTCCCAGCTCAGCAACGCCCCCTAGTGACTGCAGTGGGGCTCTAACACAGCTCACAGCCTTTCCCTCCACTTGGTCAGGGCTCGCTCGAGACCTTCTAGCCTCAGACCCGTGGGCATCGTTCAGCCCCCACTTCACGGGCAGCACTCTAGACGACCCTGGTGAGCTTCCCTTTTAGTTCCCACTGTGCCCAGCCCTCAAGGATGCGTCTGAGCATTCCTCCACAGCCCTTGTGTCCCCAGTGCCCCTTCAGCTAAATGCCTTCCCCAGCCCTACTGCCTCCAAGACAAACCTGAGCTTTGGAGCTGAGCGCTCCCTCGGAATGACCCTGCAGCCTGAGTGCCTGCTGAGTGTTCCCACGTTGCCTGCGGTCCCTAAACACGGGTCTGTATCTGGCTGTCATTCCCAATGCATAGGATTCCCTAGTGTAGTTCACGCAGAAATGTCAGCCCCCAGAGACAAGAGCCTCGTAAAAGAGGACTCCTCCGGCCCTGGCTGACTTTCTCTCTTGTGCTTTTTTTTAAGCATAATAATTGTCTTAGTGAGGGTTAACAAAGGCTTTTAAAGACTCAAGGCCTTCAGAGAGGGCTTGGCACGAAGCCCGGTGTTGCAGGTGGCTGAGGTGAAGTAGGAAGAAGAGATGTAACACCCTCAAGAGTCAAGTCTACCACCTTCCTCTCTACCCACTTGGGCGCCTGGGAGGACGCCCATGAGAGTCAGGACCGAGGAAGTCTGCCACACGCGCCTCCGTAGCGTGGACATCACATCCCACTAACTGCACCCAGCAATCATCAGATTGCCCAAGAGCCCCACTTTATCTACACGGCGTGGGGAATGATTCCTTCCACTTGATTTCTTGCAGAGCCACAGAACTCAGGCTGGAGTGAAGAATTGCTCTCTGCACAAGAAGGAAAATCAGCCCTAACCTCTGTTCGGATTCTTTACAGTTTTCTCACAGAAGGGAATTTCAGGAGGAGGCAAGCAATGGCGTAGAACAGTTCCAGTTTAGAGATGGGGAGGACGGGGAGAGGACCAACAGCTTTAAGAGATGATGTGAGCTTCTTCAGAGGGAAAAGAGCAGAAGGCACCCCATAAAGTAAAGAAAAAGAATTACACATCCCAAACGGAAATGCAGGTGAACCCAGAATGGGGAAGTATGCTGTCTTTGCAAAGTTGACTTGATAGGTTTTCTCCCAAACTGCCCCACTGTGGGGCTTGTTATATAGATTTTTTATGTGGAGATGTAGAGCTGGAGGAATAACATGTGAATAAGACAATTGCCTTGCACACTGCAGACCTGGGTTCAATCTCCAGCACCATGTAATGGTCCCCCAGCCCTGCCAGGGAACCCAATGTCCCAGGATCTCAGTGATGTCTGAGCTCAGAGCCAGGAATGAGCCTTGAGCACTACCCAGTGTGCCCAGCCCCCCAAGAAAGAGTCCGTTGCTAGGGCCTTGTCAAGAGGAAGAGCTTGGAAAAACTTGGGGTGGTACACCCACATGTTCTTATCATAGCTTTTTGTCCCTTTGGCGCTCCTCCTCTCTGAGGCTCCCAACAGTCTTCGGCAGCAGTTAGAGTCTCCTCAGCCTCAGTTCCTATGTCCACAAAATGGGGCCAGCCTTCATGCTATTTGACTACTTTCAGCTAGTGACAGAGCAACTTCCTGAATCATATCTAGGTTTTATTCTTCCTGAGAATATAGTGCCAACTTCCCACACTCCTCCTGCCACCCCACCTGACTTCCTGCTTCACCAGCAGGTCACAAGTTTCCAGTAACTTTCAGCTTGCAAAGTAACGGGTGCCTTCCGGTGGTCTTGCAAATGGCCAGTCTGGGAACCAGAAAGATAGAACAGGAAGTAAAGCAGTTGGAACCACCAGTCTGCAGATGAGGGTGTGCCCAGAGGCATAAGAAGGTTGAAAACCACCGGGGTAGCATGGGACTTTGTAAACTTTTCATCCAAGAAATGCAACCAGGGAGCACAGCCAGAAGCACCTTGAGTCCATAACATGTTTGATTTCAAATTAATTTGTGGTCATCACACATTCAGAAACCTGTTTCTACTGCCAAACTTTTCACAGCTGGCGAGGTTGTGAGCCTCAGTATAAGCTACGTTCTAGAGCACTGAGTTACAGCCAGGCAGGAGGTATCTCCAGGATCTGGCTGCTTGCCCGTGCATGGCTGGTTTCCAACTGGGGAACAAGGAAAGGAGAGAACTGGTTGACCAGATGCCTGCTGGAGAAGGCCTCTGCAGGCCACTGTCCACGGTGGATCATCGCACCTGAAGAAGGCCAACTGGAGGAATCAGGAGTCCCTGAGGGAGGAATTAAGGACCTGGAAATGCCAGACCTGGGGGACAGGCATCCCGCAGAGGGTGGCCTCTCTCTGAGTCTGCTGCCGGGAAGAGGATGGTGCTTCCCATACAGAGCCCAGCCAGTGGTGGGAGCACAGCCTCACAGCTGTGTCGGGTGGCGGAAAGAGCCTGTGTACTGTGAGCACAAAGACATCTGCACCCAGGCCAGGGAGTGGATGAATTTGCCTGAAAAGGACATGGGGCCCCTCGTGCTTTGGAAAATGGAGAAGTTTAGAACCTTCAACACATCCATGTCCCTTCCCGCTGATTTCCGACTTGCTTTTAGATCCATGCAGCTCATTTTCAACGTAGAACCCCCCCCTCCTCTGTGAGGGGAAAAACAGCTCAAGGTGGCATGGAAAGAAAGAAGCCCCAGGCCTCATTAGACCCGCCTCCTTCCCCCAAGAGCCCCGAGAACTTCTCTCATGGTTCCAGACCTACATGCCCAAGCAGCAACTTGAGGTGTCCGCATGGGCAGTGCCCGTGCCTCATGGATGGTTTCTCTGAACAAAGGACCCAAATTCTTCCCACCTGGCTGCCTCTCACCTTTAGGCACAGTGACACCTGGGGAGGGGGGGGGCACTGGAAGGGAGGGGCGTGTGGACCCGGCGAGCAGGGCTGAGCGGAGATTGGCATCTGGGTGGGAGAATGTATCACTTCCTTCTCTCAGCTGGGCCAAGGACTGGGCTCCAGTCCCCTGAGGTACATGGGAATGAAATCTGAATTTGGTGGCGGGTCTGGGGGTAGAAGGTCTCCGTGTGCCCTGAGAACCACATGCATGGACAGGTGGTTGGCACCCGGCCACTATGGGTTTCACTTTCTCCCCTTGAACACCAGGTGGCGCTTGGTCCTGGCCAGGTGCCCGGACCCTAACCTGGGCGCCTGGAATCTGCTCCTTGGCTGTGAGAGGAAAGTGTGTCTTAGACCACTTGAGGGGCAGCTGAGGCGCCAAGGAAAAGGATCCACCTGAACTTACGGCAGCAGTGTACAACTGTGTGTGTGTGTGTGTGTGTGTGTGTGTGTGTGTGTGTCCGTGTTTCTCTGAATGTGGGTAGTGCCTGAGTCTGAGATTGTGTGGATGTGGATGAGGCTGTGAGTGTGTGAGTGTGTGTGTGTGTGTGTGTGTGTGTGTGTGTGTGTGTCAGAAGAGAAGTACAGCAGTGTGCTGTGTGTGTGTCCGTGTGCTCCAGGAAGTACGGGTGTGTGTAGGTGTGTGTGTGTGTGTTCAAGGCAGATTTGGGAGCATGTGCAAGTGTGGGGCTGAGTGTGGGCATGTGCGGGTGAGAGTGGACATGGTGAAGGGACAGTGTAGATGCGGGTTTCTGTGTGTACTGGTGGGAGTGCACTGATCCTTCTGCTCAGGTCCCCACCTGGTGGCCCCCTCAGTCCCATCCTATGTCACTGTCTCAGCCTAAGCTGAGGGTTCCAGTGGAGGTGGACTAAGTCTCACTGGTGGTGGGGGGGGGGGGGTCCTGAGAGCACAGAGGGCCTCTGGCTTGTATCTGTGAGGGCACAGGCCCCACAGACATTTCTGCCGGCTGCTGCCCAGGTCTCAAGTCTGAATGCGCTTAATGGGGAGGGGCTCCCTCCCAGACCCACTGCCCACACAGAATGCACAGCAAGGAGATGGCATGGCTGTCCCCTGAGACCATCAGTTGTTCTGGTGGGGTCCCATGTCAAGAGCCGGGGGCTCGGCCTCCTGGTGGAACATTAGTTCAGGTACTAAAAGTGTCCTATCGGTACCCTGGGGCCCAGTCAGTGCATTGGCCACCCTAGGGGGGCACCTGACATCTGCTGGCACCTCCATGATGATCTCCGTGACCTTCAAGCCCAGCCAGAGGCCAGGTGACTGGAATCTGGGTCCTGCCCGTCATGTGGACAGGAAGTGGTGACTGCGTGTGGCCCTTCCCTTCACATTCTGGCTTTCCAAGGCATCTGAGCATAGTGCAGGTGCACAGCCCGACTAGGGGCCGCAGGGTGGGCCTGGCACATTCCGTCAGTGCCCAGGCTGGTTGGAATTTGATTCAGGTAATATGGGCCCCCCCCCCCAGGGGCTCTTCCAGAGCAAAGTGGTTGTGAACTTTCAGTCCTGGTTACAAACTTTCAGTTCTGGCTACAAACTTTCAGTCCTGGCTACAAACTTTCAGTCCTGGCTACAAACTTTCAGTCCTGGCTCTCACTCGCACGGCCCAGAGGGGCTGTTCTCTGCAAGCAGGACTGCTCTAGACCCAGCTGGCCGGGCTGTGTGGCCTCTGGGAACCGGTACCTTCTCTTCCCCAGGGGAAGTGCCAAGTCTGCTGTCTCGAGAGAGGAAGGGGCAGCCCCACCTGTCGGGGGCAGGCAGGCGTGGGGTCCAGGATGATCCCAGGGCCGTGCGCCCTGCCCCCAGCGCCCCGCCGCCTTCCGTTTGCTCGGCCTCTGATCCCCACTCCGGGCCAGCCGCCGGTGGGACGCGCGTGCGTTTCCTGAGGTGGGGGCCTGCCTCTTCCCTCCTGTGTTGTTCCTTTACCATGACGCCTGTTGCTCATAGGTACAAATCAAACGAAGAGTATGTGTATGTGCGAGGCCGCGGCCGAGGGAAATATGTGTGTGAGGAGTGTGGAATTCGCTGCAAGAAGCCCAGCATGCTGAAGAAACACATCCGCACCCACACTGACGTCCGGCCTTATGTGTGCAAGCACTGTCACTTTGCTTTTAAAACCAAAGGTAAGAGACAGTCGCGGGCGCTGTCCCGCCTGCGGGAGCTCCCCTCTGGGAGCCCCAGCACAGAGCTCAGGTGCTGTCCCTCTCTGCCCGGGCACTGGGCCACGCCCCCAACCCCAGGGTTCCACACTGGCCACACCCCCATCCCAGGGGTTCACACTGGCCACGCCCCCACCCCAGGGTCCCACACTGGCCACACCCCCACTCCAGGGTCCCACATGGCCACGTCTCCACCCCAGGGTGCCACACTGGTCATGCCTCCACCCCCGGGGTTCTATGCTGGCCACGACCCCACCTTCAGGGTTCCACACTGGCCACGCCCCCACTTCCAGGGTTTCATCACTGGCCACGCCTCCACCTCCAGGGTTCCACGCTGGCCATGCCTCCAAGCCAGGGTTCCACACTGGCCATGCCCCCACCTCCTGGGTTCTATGCTGGCCTTGCCCTCACCTCCTGGGTTCAATGCTGGCAATGCCCCCACCTTCAGGGTTCCACATTGGCCACGCCCCCACCCCCAGGGTTCTATGCTGGCCACACCCCGACCCCAGGGTCCCACACTGGCCACGCCCCCACCCCCAGGGTTCCACATTGACCATGCCCTTACCTCCAGGGTTCTATCCTGGCTATGTCCCCACCTCCTGGGTTCCACACTAATCCCCACCCCCACTTTCTGGGTTCTATGCTGGGCCACATCCCCCATACTTGGCTGCACCCCTCCTCCTGGAACCCCACACTCATGATTGGACCTTCTGGGCCTGGAGCATCCCAGGTCACCTGTTCCCAGTGATGACTTGACCTCCCCCCCCAGGCCTATGCATGCCTCCCACTGACCCACCAAGCTCAGCATCCACACTCAGCTCTGCCACTCTTGCGTGTGGCCACCGCAGTCATTTAGCACACGGACTGTAGCACAAGAAAGTCCCCTGGCAGCTTCCCCCGCCCTCACCTGCCCTTCAGACCAGGCCCCTGCTCTGGCGGTCGTCTCAGCAGCATCCCTGCCCTCACGGTCATCTCTGCCATCCTGGCCTCGTCACGGCCCAGCATGGGCCCACCAGTCACCTAGGAAGGACAGGACAGCTGAGGGTCTGAGTTCCAGAGGGGAGCTGAGGGCCTTGGTGTGGAAGAGGGGCCGCTGCTCCTACCTCCTTGTGGCACTTCCCCCGGCCGGGCAGGGGCACACCGGGACACAGGACACACCGTCTTGCCTGGGGCTCCTGGTGGCTGGGCAGACCAGGCGCCTCTGAGGGAGACCTGGGCTGTGGATCCCCCTGATGGCTTCAGTCTCGCTGGCAGAGTCAGACTGTGGGTCCTCTGCTTTCAGCGAGCTGGGGGTCTCCCTGGTGGCCACCTCTGGAGCCTCCTGGTTTCTCAAGACAAAGTCTTTGCTTCATCCCAGCTGCCCTTCTACCGTGGGGAAAGCTGCTGGCACAACAGCTTGAGAGCAGTGGGGGAGGGGCCCGGGGTCTCCGGGCTCCCCACCTCCTCCTGCCCTGGCTGCCAGGACCCTCCCTGCTCTGTCCACGCTCAGCACGGGACCTCCTCTCCAGCCACCCGCCTCTGCCTCGCCCCGCTGACGGCCCTCTCCGTATCCCCACTGTTCCCGAAAGGGGCATCCCCTTCCCCCCAGGTGTTCTACTCGGCCGTGGAGCTGTCCCATCCTGCTTCCTCATCCTTTCCTCTCTCAGAGTCTCCTGGGCAGCCTTCCTGAGGCCGGGCCGGGGGGGGGGGGCAGGGATGTGGCCAGTGTCCCCCACCCCCCCGGAGAATCCACAGCTCCACATCCTCTGCCTTGAATGATGGACAGTTAACTCAGGCTTTGACTTGGACGTCCAGAACCCTCTGTGGAGGGGTGAACCCCAAGAACCGGCAGTGGTTGTTGGGCCAGGGTTGGAACAGGAGCCCCCCCATGGCTGGCGCGCGCCGGGCCGAGCTGTGTTCCTTCCTCAGGCCATCCATGGGGCAGGCAGTGGGCATCCCCTCTGCATCCTGGGCCCTATGCGCTGCCTGTGCCCAGGAGCAGAGGAAAAAGTGGGGGCGGGCACGGTCGTGACTGCCAAGGCGGGCATGGGGAAGATCCATGGAGCTGGCTCTTGGCTCTGCCACCTAGCAGGCCCGGGGCAAGGGCAGGGCTTGGGGCACCTGATGGGCCCCTGAAGCACTGAGCCTCCAACCCCGGCCATGCTCTGGGCCCCGGGCTGAGCTCTGGCCCAGGGGTGGTCCTGGGGGCTCTGCCCCACCACCTGGCTGCCCTGTCTGTGTGTCTGCCTGTCCGTGTCTCTGTCTCCGTGTTAGATGTCGTGGCTGCTCTGGCCCCTGGGTGCTGGCTGAGGGGTGCCGAGGTGGGCGGGACCGGGAGACGCCTTCTGCAGTGGTCTGGGCCCCTGCAGCCTTGTCACACCCGTTCCCGGCCATGGTGGCCACGTGGTGCCCGGGCCTGGGCACGGTGGGCAGAGCGGGTGGTGACTGTGGGAAGGTGGGGGGCGGGGATGGCAGGGGTGGGCGGTGCCGTGGGCTGCCACCTCTCCCCCACACACACCCCTCATTCTCCACCTCCTTGCCACTTGCTTTCTCCTTCACGGCGGGTCAGTCAGGCTGTGGACACTGGGTAACAGGCCCAGGCTCTGTGCATGGACAGAGAAACATGTCCCGGGGCAAGGAGGGGGCAGTGGGGAGAGCACCCACTCAACTCCGGAACCACACAAACTGTCCAGACCATCGCCTCAGATGCCCTGCAGCCCCCCACAAGTGTCGGGGGCACAGAGGATTGAAGGGCGGGGGGCTCCTGGGGGCCCCCAATCCCAGGCAGAGCGGTTCAAACATTCCACCATCTCTGCATCTCTCTGCTCCACCCCCAATCATGACGCGGCATGCAGGGGCGGGGTGCTCATACTGTCGGGGTCACTGTCGGGGGTCCCCGGGCTTCTATCGGCTGTGTCCTGCGCTCAGGCCATTCCTCAGCATTTCTTCTCCGCTCCTCCCAGCACCCTGATGGTAGGTATCAGGGGCCCAGAGAGTCAAGGACCCTGCCTGAGGGCACCCCACTGAGCCCAAATCAAACCCGGCCTTAAGCCAGGCTCCCGGACTGTCCTGCGTCCATGCTGCCTGCTGACCACATATCCCAGAAGCTCGAGTCCTTCTTCTAGATGGGACCCGTGAGCAGGGCGGGCTTAGCCTGAGGGCCCGCTCCGCCCCCCCCCCCCCCCGCCACACACTGGGCATCCCAGCTGCGGACACAGCCCATGGGGGTCGTCAGCCCATGGGGGTCGTCAGCCCATGGGGGTCGTCAGCCCCTGGGCCAGAGGCGGAGCCCTGCGTGAGGGGCTAACTCTGTCTGCGAGGCTCCTTCCCACGAGGCCCTCGCTCTCCCACCTCGCTCTCGGGCCACTCCTGCGCCTGACATGTGACTTGCCCCAAACCTTCTGCTTCCGCAGGAGTGCCGCATCCGAGTGGGCCCAGGGGCCAGAGTGCGGGGAGCTGGGCCCACACCCCAGGGACCGGGGTATCTCTTGCTCCTCTGCTGCCTGGCTCCACCTCCTGGCATCCTCCTCAGGGTTTGCCAGCCTGCAGGGGTGAGGCAGGGAGCATCATCGGAGAGGAGCTTTGGGGACCCTCTAGACCCAGGATGGGTAGCTGTGGAGCGCGGCTTGGCTCTGCCTTTGGCCGGAGATGGGGAGCCGGGTGACTGTCCAGGCACAGGAGCAGACTCTGAGTCTGGAGGAGGCAGCCCAGACCCGGCTCGGGAGGGGGAGGAAGGGAACGAGCTTCTCCGCCCTGCACACGGCAGGCAGGGAGTCCCAGTTTACAGTTCCCGGTACTCTCCTAGGAAAGCCCTAAAGGTGTCCTTGATCTCCCGGATGAGAGCCAGAGAGATAGGACAGTGGGTAGGGCACTTGCCCTGCATGGAGCTAACCCAAGTTCAATCCCAGCACTCCGTGTGGTCCCTGAGCACCAACAGGAATCACCCCTGAGCACAACAACAACAAAACCCATGATTAATTCCCTCCCTCCCTCCCTCCCTTCTCCCCTCTGTCTCTCCCCCTCCCTCTCTCTCTCCCTCTCTCTCTGTGTATCCATTTACTAACCTGTCATCTGATCATTTGTCCGCCCACCCGCTGACTCTCATTCCTGCCTGCCTCCCCCAACCCCCTCCCTGAGCAATCTGCTCTGGTTGCTCGAACCCCTCCCTGTCTGTTCTCCCAGAATCTCTGCCCCCCCCCCCCGCGGCTCACCGAGCAGCTGGCCATCCTCTCCCCTCTCCATGTTTCCTCTTCCTCTCTTGTTTCCTCCCCTCGCAGCTGATTATCAACCCATTTGCCATTCCACTTCCAATATTTTATCATTCACTCATCTACCCATCTGCTTACTTACTCACCTGGGATCCCATTCACCTGCCTCTTCTCTCTGTTTTTCCTTACTCTGTGTTTCTCCCCTCCCATTTAAACAACCACCCATCTATCCATCTATCCCATCTATCATCCAGCCACCCCTCCACCCATCCACCCACCCACCCATCCACCCATCCACCCATCCATCTACCCATCCATCAATCCTCACTACCCCATCTATCCACCTATCCACCCATCCACCCATCCACCCATCCACCCATCCATCTACCCATCCATCTACCCATCCATCAATCCTCACTACCCCTATCTATCCACCTATCCACCCATCCACCCATCCATCTACCCATCCATTAATCCTCACTACCCCATCTATCCACCCATCCACCCATCCATCCACCCATCCATCTACCCATCCATCAATCCTCACTACCCCTATCTATCCACCTATCCACCCACCCACCCACCCATCCATCCATCCACTGATCCATCTACCACTCATCTACCCATCCATCCACCCATCCACCCTCACTATGCCTATCTAAACCTGTCTATCCACCTATCCATCCATACACCCATACACGGACCCATACACCCATCCTCACTGCACCCATATATATCCACCTCTCCTTCAATACAACCATGCACCCACCCATATATCCAACCACTTGCCCATCCATTCATCAACCCATCCACCTATACGTTCACCCAGTCATCTCTCTACCCACTCATCCATCCCTCTGTCCATCCATCCATCTATCCTTGCACCCATCCGACCGTCTACCCATTCTCTGGCCATCTCTTCCAGAAGTTCATTCTTCTCTCTACTATTCACCCAAACCTGTCAGTTCCTAAGATTCATAAAAAAACAGCATCTGACTCAGGGAGCAAATGCTTTATTATGTGAAGGGCCGTGCAGAAAAAGAGCAAGCTTTAGAGAGAGCAGTGAGTGTGGCACTGTGTCGGGGTGGTTGCCGGGACCCAAAACAACAGCGGAGGCCTGTGATTCTTGGCGCTCACTCTCCCTCCCAGAGCCTGAGTGCTGCACCTGTGGACAGAACTGGAGGTGCTGCCCCTGCCCGCCTGCTTGTGGGGCTGCGCTGACCACTCGGGTACTGGACACTTCCTAAGGGCAGCGTTTGCCCTGTCTCCCCAGCACGCATGCCCTGCCCTGTCCGCAGACTTCCAGACACCCCTCCCCCTCTCCATTTCTAACACAGCTTCCTGCCTCCCCTTCCCAAGCCCTGGGACCTGTCCTTGCAGGCTGCCATTCGACCAGCCCCCGAGTGGGGTGACCGGCGCCTCTGGACTCCAGGCACTGGACATAGCCAATAATCCTCCTTCAGTCTCACCAGCTCCCAGGCCCGGTTTAACCAGTGGCAGGAAGAGCCCCTGAATCAAGTGTTTTTCTTATAATATTTTTTTTTACAGCAGTATCTTCTTCATGGATCCCTCTGTCCCCTCACTGCCCCCGACCCCCAACCCGAGCTCCTATGTGCCGCCTGGAGTATCCCAGCCCAAACCCCTGGGCAGAGGGGGTCCCTGGCCCTGCCAGCACCCCAGCTCGCACAGGTTGCCCTCCAGGCCCACCTCGTCATGCCCCGCGCCTGCTCTGATCTGAGTCTCTTTCCATTCTTCCCAGGGAATCTGACTAAGCACATGAAGTCGAAGGCCCACAGCAAAAAGTGCCAAGAGACGGGGGTGCTGGAGGAGCTGGAAGCCGAGGAAGGTACGAGACGGCCAACTGCTTCCCCAGCCCTGCCCCGGCCCCTCCCTCACCTCTGCCTGCCCTTCCACCTCACCCCTCCTTCCCGCTCCTCCTCTCCCTCCCCTACCTCCCCTCCCGTCCACGCCACCTCCTTCAGCCTGGGGGACACTGATTAGCATCACAGAGTGACGGCCGGCCCCCTACACACCTGTGTGCATGGGGCAGCTAGAGCTGTCTGCTGGGCATTGTGGTCCACAGGGCAGGGCATACCCATAGCCCCGGTGCCCCACGACAGCCTCCTGGTCCCTTTCTACATCTCAGGCCTGGCCCAGACATTGAAATCCTCACCAGGACACTCTGAGGCACTGTACACCCCCACACTCACACGTGCATGCATGGAGCCTGGGCCAGCCCCCCACCCCTTTCCCAATGAGCTTCCAGGAGCACAGTGCCCACTAGGGGCGGACAGCAGCAGAATCAGAGGCCAGGCCCTGCCCAGGCTCAGTGGAGACCCAGAGGGGCTGTGGTCAGTGAACTGAGGGACCCTGCCACCTCAGGGCAAGACCGGAGACATTTCTCCAGCACCAGCGCCTTTGACTAGAGCCCCTCAATCAGACTCGGAACTTACAGTGCGATCAGAGAGGGTGTGTGTGTGTGTGTGTGTGTGTGTGTGTGTGTGTGTGTGTGTGTGTGAGATTCGTTTCTGGTTTCTTAGTTCAAAGACCTAACTGTATAGTCCCTCAACAGAGTCCGGTCAAGTTTCCTTTTAGGCGAATGTTTATTCGCTTATTTCTTGAATATTCACTTTTATTGGACAAAACACAATGAACTTAAAACTGTCCTTTTCCCCAAGCAGGAATGTGGGGGACACTGTATATCAGGGGCCAATAGTACAATACAGAGAGAGAGCACTGCCAGGGGGGCACTTGCTTTGCATGCAGCCCACCTGAGTTCCATCCCTGGCACCACATATGGTCCCCTGAGCTCCCTCCCTCCACCCCCAGGAGTGATCTGTGAGCACAAGGCTAGGAGTGAGCCCTGGGCACTATGAGGTGTGGCCCAACCCCATGAACACACACCCTCCCGCAGGAATATCCATGATGCTGTTCGTATCTCATCCAGTCCTGCAAACTGGCAGGAGAGACATGTGCTGCCCCATTTAAGCTGAGGAGAGTGAACGCGGGTGCACAGGCAGCTGGCGTCACACAGGAACACAGACACCGTGCCACCCTGGGTGCCTGAGCTGGGCGGCCTGGGGAGTGTCCAGGAGGTCATCATTGCCACCACTCTCCCTGAGCCTCTCCCTGCCTCAGTTTCCCACCATATCAGAGGATGAAATCATGAACCACCCTATGTAAGCCGTACCTGCTGCTGGCAATCCAGGAGGGAGGAAGACCCCACCCTTGACATCCTAAACCGGCATAGGAGAGGAGCTTGGACCACGAGTAATTGCAGACACGGGCGGGGGAGATGCATAGGAAGCCAAACATGTGAGGGCTGAGAAGGGGGGAGAGATGAGGTCAGGGCGAGCTGGGGCCGTGAAGGCCAAGGGCTGGGCTGGGCTGGGCTGGGCTGGGCTGGGCTGTCCAGGGACCCATTCGCAGAGAGCAGTGGCCTGCAGCGGGCACCGTGAGAGGCACAGGCTGTCTTGGACGAGAGGGAGAGCAGAGGTGGGGATCTGGGTGCCCAATAGGAAAGGGGTTTGGGGAAGGTAGGCCTGAGGGGAACGGGAGCCCAGATGGACAAGGGGGTGGGGCTGCGACTTTCGTGCTAAGGAAGATTCTGGGGGAGCAAGTGTGTTAGACCCAGGGGGGTTGGCGCTCAGCCTAGGGGAGGACGACTGCCCCCCTGGTGGTCAATCTCCGCGCCGCGGGCGCTCCCCGGTGGTGCGCGGGGCAGGCGGGGGTGGGGTGGGTACAAGCGCCACCGTGCGGCCAGACCCTGTCAGTGCAGGATCGCGTGCGCACGCGCGCGCGTGGAAAGCAGGTGTAGCCTCTATTGGGCCTGGGTCCCAGCTCGGGACCTGGAAGGGCGCTGAGAATAGGCAGGCCCAGCAAGGACATCCCATGGGACCCTTCAGGTGTGGGGACGTGGCGATCCACCCCTCCACGGGGCAGGAGACCCTTGTCCTTTAGCCTTCCCGTGCAGGACACTTTGGGCAGGCCTCGTCCCTCTCTGGGCCTCTGCGTCCTCAGGTCCAGGGGGGTCAGAGGGCGGACTTGCTGTGCGGAGTGAGATGGGTCCCTGGCGACCGCCCTCTGACCCGCCACTCAGACGCCTCCGCCCAGTGGGGCCTGTGGGCTGAGGCTTGGAAGCCGGAGGTGCTGGGAAGTCATGAAGTTCATGTGGGCAAGTTCGATGTGTCAGGGCCCTGCTATGCCCAGCCGCTCATGGGCTGGCCCCGTTCCACAGACAAGGAAACAGCGGGTAGGTGGTCCCTTTCCCGGGAGGAAGGTGGTCTGGGAGCCCCTCCGCCAGCCCCACCCGCTCCACCGCTGAAAGCTTCTTCTGTTCTTGGAGAGACTGAACACAGCCCCCCCCCCCCCCCCATGGCATGCAGCAGGCCCAGGTTCAAGCCCCGGCACCACATGGCTCCTCCGAGCACCACCAGGTGTGACCCTCCTCCGAGCACAAAACATGGATGCAAAGAGCAGAGAGTGTTGTCATGGGGGAGGTCCCGACTCCCGGGGAATCAGGATGCGGGGGAACACTCCCGCCCCGGGCCTGGGCTTCCCATGTATAAGTCGGAGGAGGCTGCGGATGGTCCTGGTACTGAAAGCCTAGGTAGGGAAGTCAGAGCCCGGAGCACCCATCCCTGCACTGTGCACCCCTACCTCCAGCCCTGACCCCACCTGCTGCTCCCTGATGCCAGGAATTCTAGGCTAGTCCTTCACCTGCCACGCCCAGGGGGTCTGGCCTGGGCCTCCTGGGTGCCCCACGAGCTCCTCGTGCTGGACAAGGTGGTCTGAGTGGCCCCAGCAGGGGCTGTGGGGGGTGTCCCTCTCGGCTAAATGCTGGGGTGTCCAGGCTCACCCCAGGTCACAGCCCTCACCCTGCAGACCCTGTCCTATTGGGCTCACCATATTGCAGTCCTGTGGGGAGCCCGCAGGGTGGGGGGTCAGTGGGGGAAGGTAGGTGGCTTGACTTCATGAGCGCCACCCGGAGTCCTGGTGGCCGACTCCAAGGTGCCCCAGTGAGATCCAGGTCATAGCAGAGGGGACCTGGCTGGGTGGGGCAGCCCCATAAGATGCCAGCTCAGGAGGCTGGTGGGTCAGACCCCTGGCCCTGCCCACCAGCAAGAGCGGCTGGGTTCTGCAGGGGCCCAGACACTCTGGACAAGAGCTTGGATGGGCCATGCCTTGTGCGGGCGGCCAGCCTCACCCATACTCCATGCAGGGCCCCGGCCAGAGGCCACTTCCCCCACCAGCTTCAGCCCGGACACATATGAGATGGCTAGGCCTCAGAGTAGAGAACCCAGGCAGCGTCACTGAGGCTGGCCCACTGAGCCCTGGGCTCTCGCCTTCATGCCACAGAAGAGTAGACTGAGGCACACACGGCCAGGTGACTTCCTGGGCTCACAGAGGAGCCAGCGCCCAACTGCTGACCTTGAAGGCAGCGGAAGCCCTTTCCTTCTCACCGAGGCCCTGCCCGGCCCTGGCGCCCCTCGGTCTTCCTCCCCTGACCCCTGCAGGGGCAGGTCTCAAAGCCCAGGTACTCTGCCGACTCCATAACCACCTGCCGCAGTGTCCTTCGACCTGAGCCCGTCGCAGGGGAGCTGCAGGTCACTGTCGGTCACTGTGGGCTTCCCATTCTGTCGGTACCAGCCATGGTCCTCAGCCCCTCCCAGGCTCTCATGGGGCCTGCGGTTCCTGGGTCGCCTGCAGACCAGGATGGCCTGGCATAGGGCGGAGCTGGTGAGGCGGGGCTGGCTGTGACCGGGGCTGCCTCTGTCCCCCGCAGGAACCAGTGACGACCCGTTCCAGGACTCCGAAGGGCGAGAGGGCTGGGAGGCGGCGGCAAAACACCAGTTTTCAGACCTGGAGGACACAGACTCGGGGTCAGACCTGGATGAGGAGGAGGAAGAGGAGGAGGAGGAAGAGGAGGAAGAGGAGAGCCAGGACGAGCCGTCAGGCCCCCTGGAGGCAGATTCCCCACCAGGGCAAGACCCCGGGCACAGGGACGTCCACTCTGGCAGCCAGGCCTCACGGGCCAGCCCGGTCTCAGAGGGCCCAGCAGCTGGCAGCGGTTCTGCTTCCAGCCCAGGCAGCCAGTGCGGCCCCCACCTGGCACCAACCCCTGCGGGCCCTGTGGAGAAGGACAAGGGCTCGGCCCCCAGCACCAAGGCCGAGTCCCCAAGAAGACCATGGTCCCCAAGCCAAGAACCGGCCAGCCACACACCACTTGCCCACAAACACGCCCCCTCCCCAAGTGACTCGTGCTCCCAGCCACGTGCACCCGCCCGAGGCCCACCCACCTCCACCCCGAGCCCACCGGGCGCCCCGGCCCCCCGTGGGTATCCCAGACTTGAACTGTCCCCTCTCAGTGCCCAGCCCCCGGAGAGAGAACCGCCCCTGCTGACACTCCTGCCCCCCGAACTCAAGGGCCACATGGGCTCCCCCCGACATTCACCACCCCCCGGGAGTTGGTTTCCGGGCCAGGCCGAGTCTCCGCCACGGTCAGCGCTGCCAGGGAAGTGGACCTCGGCGGGGTCGGGCAGCCCTTTGGCGGCAGAGCACGGCCCAGGCTCGGGGCCAGCCCCGCGGGCTCTGTTCCGGCCCACGCCTCTACCTCACACGCTTCTCGGCAGAAGCCCCGAGACCTGCGCCTCCACCGCGGTGAGTTCCTGCCACCACCCGGCTCCTTCTCCCAGGCCGGGCGTTCAGGGCGGGGAGAGAGACCCCCCTCCCTCCCCCGGTGCCCTTCTCCAGGGCCAGTGCTCCTGCAGCACTGAGGTGGCTGAGGACTTTGCTCCTGGGCCAGGCCATACCGGAGCAGCGCACAGAGGCCAGCTGGGTCCACTGCCGTCCCATCCCCTGGGATCTACCACGTGGCCGTGGGTGCGGGTGTCAGGGCGTCGGCTGTCTCCACCCCACCCCACCCCACATGTTCTCCAAGCAGTTGCGGGGCTTAATCCAGAGCACTCCGCCGACAGCTCAGTCACCCGCATCTTCAGAGACCCATCGCCGGAGTCTTCCCTGTGAGACCCCCTGCCCCCACACAATTCCGGCACCGTGGCCAAGGCCCTGCCACCCTCACTTCTGTCCAGCCCGCCATTCCCGTCTCTCCGTCAGAGCCGTCAGGGCCATTCCTCTAGAGCGGGTCCCCGTCCCTGCCGTCTCTGCCCTCCACAGCCCCACAGCCCCAGCCCTGCTACACCTTGTTCTCAGCTCGGGCTGCCCTTCCATCCTCCTTCCCCCACCTGCTGCCAGGACCCACCGCCGCTGTTCACCACCGCTCACCACTGCTCACCACTATTCACCACTGTTCACTACTTTTCACCACCACTCACCACTATTCACTACCAGTCACCATTACTCACCACCACTCACCACTGCTCACTACTTCTCACCACTATTCACCACTACTCACCACTATCTACCACTGCTCACTACAGCTCACCACCACTCACCCCTGTTCACCACCACTTACCACTGCTCACCACCACTCACCACTATTCACCACTGCTCACTATTGCTCACCACCACTCACCCCTGCTCACCACCACTCACCACTATTCACCACTGCTCACTATTGCTCACTACCACTCACCCCTGCTCACCACCACTCACCCCTGTTCACCACCACTCACCACTATTCACCACTGCTCACTATTGCTCACCACCACTCACCCCTGTTCACCACTACTCACCACCACTCATCACTGCTCACTACTTCACCACCACGCACTATTTCTCACCACCACTCATCCCTGCTCACCACCACTCACCACTGCTCACTACTTCTCACCACTATTCACCACCACGCACTATTGCTCACCACCACTCACCCCTGTTCACCACCACTCACCACCATTCATCACTGCTCACCGCTTCTCACCACGATTCACCACCACTCACCCTGTTCACTACCACTTACCACCGCTCACCACTTCTCACTATTCTCCACCACTCACCACTATTCACCACTGCTCACTATTGCTCACCACCACTCACCCCTGTTCACCACTACTCACCACCACTCATCACTGCTCACTACTTCTCACCACTATTCACCACCACGCACTATTTCTCACCACCACTCAACCCTGTTCACCACCACTCACCACTGCTCACCACTGCTCACTGCTTCTCACCACGATTCACCACCACTCACCACTGTTCACCACTCACCACTGTCCATCACTCTTCACTACCATACTCCGCCTTTCACTTCCCTTTACCACCAGAACCGCAGCATCCTCACTCTGAATTAGGCCTCTGGAGGAGCACGCCCTAGGAACATTTCCTTGATTTTCAATTTTGAAGTCACATGAAAATTCGTGTTGAGGGAGAAGGTCAAGAGCCTTGAGTGGGAACTCAAGTTCAAGGGTCAAGCAGGGACAAAATGACTTTAGGAACAGACTAGGCAGCAGAAGCAGCTCCCCTTCCTCGGAGACAGACGTGTGGGCTGCCGGTACGGAGCCCGGGGCCCCTGCTGGGCCTGAGGGCAGGTGGAGCCAGAGCCCGGTGGCCGTGCGCTCCGTGAGCCTGGGCTAGTCCCCACTGACCCCCCAGGCCTCGGGTGTCCTCCTGGCCTGTGGGTGCCCCCGCTGACCCTGTCTTGTCTTCTCACCCCAGCAGAAGCCCGAGTCCCGAAGACCATCCTGCCTGCCTGGCCCTGCCCAGCCTCTCTCCTCACGCCCCTGCGCCCCCCACGACGCCCACGGCCACCCCCCGACTGGGACAGAGAACATCTTCAGCCACCTCCCTCTGCACTCCCAGCTCCTAACCCGCACCCCCTGCACCATGATCCCCATCGGGGGGATCCAGATGGTGCAGGCCCGGCCGGGGGCCCACCCCAGCCTGCTGCCAGGGCCCACAGTGGCCTGGGTCAGCGGCTTCTCGGGGGGCGGCAGCGACCTGACGGGGGCCCGGGAGGCCCAGGAGCGAGGCCGCTGGAGTCCCACCGACAGCTCGTCGGCCTCGGTGTCCCCCGTGGCCAAGGTGTGCAAGTTCGCGCTCTCCTCCGAGCTGGAGGGTGGGGACGAGCCCAGGGAGAGCGAGAGGGCGAACAGGGGGCTGGGCCAGCCCCCGGACTGGGAGCCCCGGGTGGCCGAGGTGCCCACGGAGCCCACGCACAGATCCCACACCCGGTCCCGGCCACCCCCGGGCCACTGGCCAGAGTCGTCCTGGAGGCCCCGCGTGGGCTCACTGCGCCGGCCGGCCCACCCCACGGCCTCGGCCGCCCCCACGCTGGACCGGAGCAGCTCCCTGGGGTGCCTGGCCGAGGCCGCTGCCCGCACCCCCACCCGGAGGAGGAGGAACCTCTCTGGGGAGCCCAGGACTGGCCAGGACTCCCCGGAGCCCTCAGGAAGTGGGGCGCCCAGGCCGCTTCCACGCCAGCCAGGGAAGGGCGAGGGCCCCCCCAGCACCTAGCCTCTCTCGACCGCTTCAACATCCGGCTTCCAGCGTCCAGCAACAGACGTTTCTCTCGAATCGTCCTGCTCCCGTGGCTCCCTCGGATGTCTGAACACCCGTCCGCCCGTCCATCTGCCCATTCGTCCAAGCCGCTTCTGTGCCGCCGCCTGTCAGCTCGTCCCACGTATGCAGTTCCCTGTGCCTTTTCTACACCTTGTGTTGCTTGAAAAGAGACTAAACACACACACACACACACACACACACACACACACACACACACACGGAGTTTTGAGGCTGTGAATATTTTGTGCTTTTTTTTTTGAGAAAGGATGTGTTGGGGGCGGGGGGTGTCACCTCACCCGCCTCCTGGGCCACCAGAGTGGTCAGCACCCCCTCTGCCACCCCCAGCCAGGCTGGCAAAAGGCGACCCATTGCTGAGGAAATTGAGGGAGAGAAGAATCACCACACAACTTTAAAAATATGTATTATTAAAGGCACAAGCAAGCACTCCGCTGTATAGATCTCCACGGTTCCTACTTTTTGCTGCTGTGTCCCCCTCCGCCTGAGGACCTCCCGCCTCTATCAGCAGAAGGGCCAGGAGTCCCGGGAAGGGGGCCACAGGCAGGCAGGGGACCCCACGCAGCCACCGTAGGCTGGCCCCGGAAAACCCAACTTTCTTCTCCTAGGACGTCATCTAGGAAGGATGGGCGCGAATAAGGTCCCGACCCCCCTCCCCCAACCCCGCCAGCACCCACTCAGGATGAGTCAGGGGCTCATCCTGCTTTCTGGTGATACCCCCACAACTGCCCCGGACCCTGCCCTCGGAGCCCCCCACCCTCACCCCTGGGCTGGGAAAGCGGCCCCTCCCCCACGCCTGGTCTCAGGCTCCCTCCCTGTGCTACAGACTGTCCCCCAGGGGAGCCCAGCCCTGCCTCCTCCGAGGCTCCCTGGTGCCTGGACCCCAGGGGTCAAAGGGCTGTATGTGCCTCAGTGGCGGGGCTTTCCAGAACCATCCCCCAGCACACACACTCTCCCCAGGAAATGCCCAGACCACGCGTGGGGGCGTGGCCCAAGCCTGTTCGCTCACTTGGGCTGAAATCTTTAGAACTCGAAAGTTTAAACTGGAGAGCGAGAAAGAGAGAGGGTGGGGTCTGTCCCTCTGATGGGCCTCGTCAGGCCTGTGCACCGGCAACTGTCTCAGTTTTCCTGGAGTCTCTTGAATCCTCCTCCAGAGCAATCTGTCCTAGTCAAGCCCCTTCGCCAGCCCCTTTGGGCCTTCGAGAAACTCCCTGGCATTACCTGGGGCGGAAACCTGCTTTGTAATGTAAAAATACCCTGATTAGAACGCAAAGCTTCAAGGTGAACCAGGGAACTTAAGGTCTGGCTCATTCATCCTGTCCGGGAGGGAGACGGGGCTGTCCTCAACCTTCCAGAAACCGTTGTTGTCCCCAGGGTGAGGGCACGGGCACCACAGTATGCCCCAGTGCCACCTTCCGGAGCAGGGGCCGCCCCGGCGGCTCCCAGTACTGGGCCGGAAGCGCTGTGCTCTTGCGTGGTTCAGACCTGATTCGGATGCGCCAGGTGAGCGCTGCCCAGACCCAGCTCAGACGTCCGTCTGTCCGTCCGTCCGTCCTACCTGCTCCCAGGTGCAGCCAACACCAGGCCACCTCGTTCAGCTCCTCTTGGTCTCTCCCAGAGCTAAGCCTAACTAACGGGCCTGCCGAGAAGTGCCTCCCGGCGGGGTGCCCAGGAGACGGGGAGCTTGCTAGCAATGCCACCAGCTGCCTAACCCCGCATCCGGGGCCCTGGCCCACCTGGGAGCGGCCAGCAAGCCCCCTTGAGCACATTGGAACTGTTTGGCCTGGCGGGGAGTGGAAGGAACTGACTCTCCCACACCCTGAGCTCTCAGGGTGCCCCCTTCCTGCCAGCTCTGAGCCCTGAGCCTGGGTGCTGGGATGGGACATTGCTTTGGTCGCTTTGTGGCCTCCCGGGCTCAGTCCTCAACCCAGACCTGCAAAGCAGCAGGCAGTAGGGCTGTGCCGGCCAGCCCTGACCCCGGGAGGGAGCACCCCTCCACCTGCCCTCATCCCCATTTCCCTTCCGGGAAGCCTCCTCATGGAAGGAGGGCCCAGCAGGGGAGACCCCCCCTCACCATCACTCAGGCCCACCTGGGGATCACTTGTCACTCAGGCCCGCCTGGGGATCACCTATCACCGTCACTCATCCTCGAGGACAGAGAGACACCCCAAAGCATCCGGCCAGAGGGCAGCAGCTTCGCACAGGTGCCCAGAGGACTGGACACCACGCCACCAGCTGCCCCCTCGCAGCCCTGCCACCCACGTGCCTGGGCACAGCTCTGACCCTCTGCCAGTCTCCACGCCCCGCCCCTGTGTAGGCACCTTCCCGGTTCAGAGGGAGAGGAGCTTAGCCCGTGCCCTCTGCAGGGTGCCTCAGTCCCCAACCCTCGAGCGTCCAGTCTGGCTGTGATGCTGTGACTCCCAGGGGCCACAGCGAGAAATCAGCACACACCTCTCCCCCCTCCCCACCCCTCTCCCTCTGTCCCCCACCACAACGCGCCGTGTCCAGCCCCAGCCACAGTTCTGCTCCGGCTGCAAGAGTGGGCAGGGTGGGAGGCATCTCGCCAGGGGAAGGCCGAGCCACCTCCCACCTGGCCCACCATCAGCAACCTCAGCACCCACACTCTCCCGTGGGCCTCTGGGACACCTTGCTGCAGGCTGACACCCAGTGCGCCCTTGCCCAGCTTGAGTCTGGTGGCCCCACGACGCCCACCTTCCTAAGTCCCACTGCTACACCCGGAAGACCCTCGGCCTCCCTCTGTGGGAAAAAGTCAGACCGTTACCTTCCAGAGCCTTCCGACCTGTGCCATTCCCGCCGGGCCCCTTCCAACCAGCTGTACGTCTGTCCTTTCTCCAGACAAATCCTCTCAAAGCAGCTGTCCTGCCTGGCTAGTCATGTGGGGAGACAGAGCTGCACTCCTGATGGGGGAAGAAAGTTCCAGGAGGCCGGTTCCACATATTCTGCTTCTGTGTCGTGAATCCAGCCCACTCTCCCTTAGAAAACTGCTTTTGGCACTTACGATCACTTTACTAAATCTAGTGTTACAAAAGGAAGAAAAAGGAAACAGGACAAAGAAGCGTGTAGGCAGAGGTGAGATGACACGCTCTCTGTAAGATAAATATTTGCCTTTTTTTTCTAAAGGGTGTACGTATTCTGTATGTGAAAGTGTCTGTAGAGAATTTATATGTTCTTAATGGCAATACATTCCAAAAATCGTACTGTAGATATGTACAGTGACCACGCTGGGATGGGGTAGTTTTGCCTGTAATTTTATTTAAACTCCAGTTTCTACACTTGCATCTTGCAATGTTGGTATGGTATATATCAGTGCAAAAGAAAAAAAAAAATGGAACAAAAAAAAATCCATGCAGGTCTAAAGCACAGAGTCTGACATACAAAAGGAGAAGATTGCTCAGTATCGACGTGTGTGACCTTCGTTGTAAATTACATCTGTACTGTGAATGAGATGTTTTTATGAGTATAATAATGGCCTTTATTACAGCTCTGGCTGTGTCCAGCCCGAGGATATTTTTTAAAAAAAAACAAACAAACAAAACAGCATGTTGGAATAAATTTGAAAATCCCAACATAGCCTTGCTTGCCTGGCTCCTGGTTTTTCTGGAGGATCCTAGAATGTCACCATCAGAGGGACGTTTGACCTCCTGAGTGCTTGTTTCACTACACAGCGGTAAGGCCCATGGGAAGTACAGGACAGGGCCACAGTCCTGCTGAAGCTGTCTTGTGGCCGCTGCTTTCCTGGCTCAAGGAGGGTGTGCTGGCATGGGGTGGGGTGAGGGGAGGGGGGACACCAGGGCCGCATTTCTCCCCTAGAGTGTTACAGCCTGCCCCCACTGGGACCATCAGGGACTGGGAAGCACAGAAGTCTACCCTCTCCGCATTTCTGGAGCCCAGAGATCTGCAGGCAGAGCCTGTTCCTCCCAGCGCCTCAGGGGAACCTGCGCCCAGAGGTACAGGTACCTGCGTACCTGTCCGGGTGTGTCCCACCTTGCCCCGTCGCTGCCTACCCTCCACCATGCGCCCTGCTCATGCCGCTCTCCTTTCCTGACGCTTGGCCAAACGATCCTGGCGGTGCCCCCTAAACCAACAGGATTCTCTTCTCCAAGTCCTGAATTTCCTTGCATCAGCAGGCACTTTTTCCCCCACTAAGATCACACGCAGAGGTTCTGGGGATCAGAATGTGGACACGAAAGGGAAGGGGACGCCATTCAGCTCACCGCAGAGCAAGACCCAGAATCAGACCGTGCCGGGGCCACTCCGGGGCTCCGTGAGCGCAAGCAGGTTACTAAATAGGGTACAAAGATGAAAAGGGACAGACAGAGGTTTCCACACCCTTTTCCCTAAGCAGTGACTTGAGCACCATTCTCTAGCCACAGCTCCACTGTGCCTTCCCGACACCCTGACACCGACACGGGCTGGCCTCCGGGAATTTGCTCGGCAGCCTCACAGCCAGGGCTTCTGACCCATCCAGAAACCTTTCCTGGAAAAATCCTGGGGTCCAGGCAGGAAGGGGAAGCCAGGGACAGAGGTGGACAAACACTCATGAGCAGCCCCAGGATCAGGGCTGCCGGGAAGCTCAGCTTTAAGGACCTACGAAGTCTGTTTGCTTGGCCTCCAGGGCTGACAGCTGACCTGGGAAGACCTGGCAAGGCCGGGGCTGGCCTGGCGATACTGGGTCATTGAGCAGGGTCAGATGGGGGTGGGGGGGCATGAAAGGAAAGGTGAGGAAGGGGGATGATCAAGGCAGAAGCTGAAAGGACATAGGCTTTGGGGCAGAGAGACTCGAAGGTGTTTGGGGGCCGATGGGAAGGCCCTGGTCAAGACTGAGGTGCTGATGGTGTCCTGCCGTGACCTCAGGACCGAGGTTGAGGAGGGTGCGGGGGAGGGGAGCAGGGGAAGACTTCCCCACGGAGGAGTTTCCC